ATGGATGTGAATTTAGAGGAATAATGTGAAGAAGCTTGGGTGGGGTTACTCTTAGCATTTCTATGCATGCTACAGTGAGATGGTGTTTATCCTTGTAACAGTGACATTTACCATGAATTTGGGAATGTCAAAGTTCTCCCATCTGTTTATCTTCAGGCAGGTTTTAAGACTTTTTGGGCATAACAGTCAGAGTGTTAGGCTGGGACCCAGGAGGCCTGGGCTCTAGTCCCCATTCAGCCCAGCTAATCCCACCTGGGTGACCTGAGGCCACTCACGGACCCACAGCCTAACCTATCTCACAGGGTAATTGTGAGGATAAGCTGGAGAGGAGGAGAACCTTGGCTAACGTAATAACATTTTCAATCTGCTTTTTTGCTGAAATGACAAGTTAGCTTTATATTTTCCAGCGGTCCCTTGTCCTCATTTTAAATTGCAATTGTAATATCATTTACTGGTCTGCTCAGGAAGTGTTTATGCTGCTACTTTTAAGTGAAACATCTTTGGATACTGGCTTGATATGTTTCAGAGGTGTTAACTGTGCCTGCCTTGAGAAAACGTGTTTTGAAAAGAGGCATATGAATAAAATGAGTGATAATAATAAATGCAAAGCTATCAGCACTTACTTGTCCTTCCAATGGTGGTGGCCATAGTGGCCACATATATCCTCAATCCCTGTCAAAAGGTGATCCAGGAACTGTTTTCAAATAAGGAGAAGAAAGAAGAATTGGACATTTGCCTCTTATTCATTGCACTCCTTAGTTCACCTTTTACCTGCAGCAGATGCCCTGCAACAGATGCTCAGCATTCAGCATGTTCCATAATCCAGGTGCTGCCCTTACAGATGCCCTTCTTGTCCTACCCCAACATATCTCCTTCTGATCTTAGCGAGCAGGTAGCGTGATCCAGAAGGTACAGGTTTTCCTGAGCCTGTCATTTTGGGCACAACCTGGTGCCCTTTAGATGGAAACAAAGGCCTACAACTTCCAGGATGCTCCAGCCAGCCATGCTAGTCCTTCCCTGTCTAAACATGCACAGGATTTCACCCTTCCCTGTTTAAGCATATCCCCCAATGCTCTGAATTAGTCACACAGGCCAGATTACTGCTCGCTCCTTCCCCACCGGCACGAGGGAACCCTCCAGGCGCCCCCCAATACAAACTGGAAGCCAACCATGGAGGCTCCCCCAGCAGACAGGGCTTGGAGTATTCCAGGAAGACTCCATGGGTAAGAAGTTCCAGAGATGTGCCCTGAGGAACTCTGGGAACTGTAGGCAGTGGGCGGTGCTCTCGGTTTCTATCCGATTATACTTGTGAGCGTGCAGGAGGGACATGCGAGCAACACAGCCCTTGTGCTTCTACAATGAGCTTGAACTGAGTGGAAAGGCTGGCAGAGAAGAGCTCCGCTGATCTCTCCCAACCAGAAAACAAGAGTTTCTGGGGTTATTTTTAGAAGTCTGAAATCCACATGGCCCAAACATGTGCTCCTGCAAGCGTAAGAAACCCAGTGGAGGTGCAGCACCTCCGCTGTGCACTGTCCTTATCTCCTGCACTCAACGGCAGCTCCAAAAATCCAGACTGGTGGAAGGAGGCATGACAGTTACACGCTAGCACAGCAGAAATGGGTAGTGCAGGTAAACCTTCATATGTGCTCTTGCATCTTTGCTCAGGAATCTGTTTAGCGCCAGCACTCATCTTGCAGTCCTTTCACACCCAAACCTACTCCTGCTTTCCCCCTAAAAGCTGTTTCTATTTCCGTTGCCTAACATAAAAGAAACTCCTGTTCCCCACCTTCATGTTGCTGCTAAACGAAAGAGGGAATGAAAATTCTTTCCCACCCTGTTGGAAATCGCACCCGTAATTGACTGCTAGTTCCCAGTCTGCCTTCCCTCCAGCCCTGCTCAACCTGTTCCTACTTCTCTTGTTATTTCTTTAGAGCAATGTCAGAGTGCAAGTCACGCAATCCAGAAGCCACCAGCACTATCAACAGCAACAACAGGAATCAGAAGTAGCAAAGATCACAAGGTGCTAAAGACAGTCTAGCTTATTTGCAAAAGCCATTGTCCCCGCACCTTATGACCAAAGGAACCACTGCCTCTGGCAAGAGAAAAGCCTCCAATTCATTCTGCCAGAGGTGCTGAACACTGTTCAGGTCCAGGTCTGAACTCCATGTGAAGAAGGCTCATGGAGGCTTCCTTAAGGGACAGGCAGGGCCAAAAGTTCCAGAGCATTTTAGCTTAAAATTAAGATTTTAGCATTTAGTTCCTGCCAGGAACCCAGCCTTCAGAGATCCATTTCCACCATTCAGAAGAATGGCGGGCGTAGGGCAAGGGCAGGGGAATGAGAGGGTGCAGAAAACTTCCTAATATTAGTGGTATGGGAAAGGGCATGTGACCTTCTGGATGGCTGGACTGGGTCTTCAGGCAGGCTGGGTTTGGCCCCTGGACTCAAGATTCTGCACAGAAAATGGACATACTTTTGCAAATAAGCTACACCATTTCTTCAGTGACTCATGAGCTTTCCTTTTGTTTTTGTTGGTTTGTGCCTTGGGAATTGGTGCTGCCACCCTTTTCCTTGGCCACTGGCAAGATCCATCTTAAAGCAAGTTGCGGCCCAGTGTGGGTCTCTCAACCCATTGGCAGGTGATCAGGGAATCTGCGAACGTGTCCGAGGGGCAGTGCAGAGGTAGGCCTGCAGGTGGCAACGGACACCTGTACCAACTGTTGCCATGTTGCAGTACGCAAGGGTCAGCATTCGCGATGGGAATAAGGGGAGAACAGTATCCCTTGCAAGTTCTTAACTACTCCGTGAGAGGCGTCATGTGGACAGATATGAAGGGGAAGAGGCCAGGCATGTGTTGTGCTGCGAGTGGGTGAGATCGTTTACTGACAAGTAGCTCAGGACGGTTACCTGTGTGTGAATTTCCTCATTGATGGACCGCTTCGTCTCTTGCTTTTTCTTCACGGCTAGAAGGTCCACCAAAGGGCGGATCGTCATGCCCTGGGGAGAGACGTGCCTGTTAGGTTGCCCGGGCAAGGCCTGTGCTTTGTTGCTCTGCTCTTGAGCCCTTTCTCCACTTGCTCTCCCATCAACTGCCTCCAGTTCTTTGGAAAACCAGGGAGCGAGCTGAGCTCCACCATGAAGGAAGGGCAGCCACGAGTGACTGCTGTCTGTTGCCCATGTCATTTCCAAATTCCAGGGGTCAGCCAAGGCACCAACAGGCCTTCCAGACATGCCAAAAGGAACACCTCCAGGCATGGTCAGGAATATGGCTGAAGACACACGGCTTCATAGATGGCTCGGCTTAACAGGCTTCCTATAAGGGCACTCGCCCAAAGTAGACCAGACGGGGACCTGACCATGGCAACAGAACACCACTGTTCTCCCCCGAGCATAATGCTGAAATGTCACCATGCATGGGTTGCCTCCCAAGTGTCCAGCTAAAGCAGCATGCACCTGAAAAGACAATATGTGCCCGCATCCAGCACATGTATCATTGTGGTTATGGCTGCAAGAAAACCACAAACGGCTCCCCCTTCCTGTGGAGTGTATGCTTGGTGGTTGTACTGGCCTCCCTGAAATGGATCCAGACAGTCCCTGCAAGCTGGAAAGGAAGCGCTTTAAAGAGAAGGCTGAGGCTGCACACTCAGGCACCCCCTTCCGGTCAGATCTTCAGCTTGCTGCACACTCGAAGCAAAAGGAGGTGGCAGAGCAGACTGCCACTGGCTGGGCGAGATGCAGCAGCCTGGTGGGATGGGACATCACCCATGTCAGCTAGCAGAGCAGCGCAAACAATCCGGAACAGAACCCTTTGCTTAAGGCAATGGTTTGTAGCTGCTGCTTGAATTGTAAAAGGTTTATTGTTGCGTTGTTTCTACTTGGAGGAGCAATGAGAACAGCAGGCCCCGAAGAAGCAGTGTGGCCCGTTCTGCACCGTGTCCGACAGCTGTGGGCGGGAGGTTGCCAGGCCTGGCAAACCGAGGACTTGTCTACAGGCCTACCTGCACAAAGACAGTGAAGAAGATGACGGTGATGATGGCCGTGAGGAACATCTCTCTCATGGGGAAATGCTTGTATTCCAGGAGGAAGCCCAGGGAGAAGGCGATCGCCCCTCGCAGGCCGCCGTAGGCAATGATGAACTGATCTTTCGGGGTCAGCTTCACAATGCGGAATTTGTTGATGAACCATGTCAGCCCGAGGACACCTGAATAAAGCCATTTAAAATGCAAGATGATGATTAAAGATAAAATGACAGGGTGCTTGAACTTATCTGACGCAAAAGCACCGTGAGAACTATATCCAAGAAGAATGCCTACATCTCACAGAAGGGAGTACGGAAGGAAAAAGGGGAGGACCGGGAAAAGAGGGGGAAAGCACTGGCTGCTTCCCTCTTCCTTGTTATCAAAACTGGTCTGCATAACTTACTCATTGCTACTTCCTGAGATGTTAGGACGGCAAAGCATGAATACAAAGCAGGGAGAGCAAGACACACGAGGGCAAGGGAGACATTTAGCAAACACACACACACACACACACACACACACACACACACACACACAGGCAGCTCAAGGAAGCAGTCTTGACCCACGTTTGAAAGGAAGAACATCAATGACGCCGAGGCAGCAATCAAGCTGATTCAAGAAGACTAATTATCTCCTACATTCTATTAATTTGTTGCACACTGACAGCAAAGCAGTGCATGAATGCGGGTGGACTGCAGGATTAAGTTGCACACACTCACACACTCCTAATACAGAAATACCGCCTTGAATATGGAAAGTGAGCACATCAAGGAGAAGACTACCTTAAAACTCTTCATCTTGATGTGCTAGCTTCCTAAAAGCAAGGAGGCTGTTTGGCACTGTCAGCTTCATTATTTTTGCAATTAGTTAATTTATATCCCACCCTTTTTCCTGCAAGGAACTGAAGGCAGTCTACATATTCCTCTTCCTCTCCATGTTATCCTCGCAACTACTTTATAGTCCTTTGAGGATCAAGGGGAGCCAAAGGGCCACCTGAGCCATTCCAGAGCAAGGGTGGGCAACCCTGTGCCCTGCAGATGCTTTGGACTACAATCCCTATCAGCCCCAGTCAGCACAGCCATGGCCAAGAATTGTGGAAGTTGCACTTCAACACATCTGAGAGACATCAGGCTGCCTTCCTCTATTCTGGAGCCCATGAGTGCTTCTCAGCCCAGTGGGTTCCGTGGCGTCCCTTTCCCAGCTCTGGCAGTTCCTGAAAGTTCTCTGCCTTACAGCCTTAAGGTACAAGAAACTGCCCTTAAAGGAAGAGAAGGATTAGGGTGCAGCAGAAATTCTCAACATCCAGCGTTCTGGAGTCAACACACACTTCTGCACTTGAAAACCAGGGATAGAAAATGTAACCTTCCAGAGAACGAAGGACTACAACTCCCATCACATGCCATCACTGGCTACACTGACCAGGTCAGATGTGACTTGGTGTCCAGCATTTGGAGGACCTCTGCTAGAAACACACGTGCAAAGTTTGAAATGGTGGGGAGCATGTGCCCCTCCAAATGTAGGTGAACCCCAACTCCCATCAGCCTCAACCTGCACAGCCAACAGAGCAGGATGATGGGAGCTACAACCCAGCAACATCTGGAGGACCACATGATCCCTGTCTCCCTGCCAAAAGGAAGAGAGGCCAGAGTCCTACCCAAGCATTGCTAAAGCTATGAAACTATGTGCCCTCCCGCCCCTTGAGATCGACGGCAGAGGCCCTCCTCCGGGAACCCTCTGTGAGAGATCTTAGGAGGGTGAGTACCCGGAGGAGGGCCTTCTCTGCGGTGGCGCCCCACTTATGGAATGCACTCCCCAGAGAGGTCCGCCTGGCGCCGTCATAATTTGTTTTTCGGCACCAGGCCAAGACCTTTTTATTTAAACATTATTTTAATTGTTAATGGTATTTATTGATTTTATATTCTGCCAAGGTAATTGTATAATTGTTTATTTGTTTTGGAAGCCGCCCGGAGGCTTTTTGCGAATGGGGCAGCATATAAATGCTCCAAATAAATAAATAAATAAATAAATAAACTCGCCGGGCGGGTGGGGCCTTCGACAGAGACCTGCCCCCAGATGTAATGCATGCAGCATAACTGTGCTCCTGACATTCGCCCTGCAGGTTAGGTCAGCGGGAGGCCAAACTACAAAGCCTGACCTCACTCCCCTCCTACGTGGCGAGTCTGGCAGCTTGAAGAACATGTGAATGCAGCTCTAGCAGCCTTCTGCAACGTGGTGCCCCCCAGATGAGTTGAATTAAACTTCCTGACAGAAGGATTCCGGGAGCTGCCCTCCAACACAGCTAGAGGACACCATGGCAGAGAAGGCCAGGCTGTAGCCACTGCGCAATCCTGCAGAAACACGGTCCGCTTGGTGCGCTTGCTCCAGGGAAGCGCTGAGACCTTGTCCCTCCTGTGGAAGATTCCTCTCCAGTTGAGGCTTGCTGTCTGGCCTGTCGCAGCCCCCACAATGCCTGAGATCCTTGCTCTCTCTTTGGCAGCACAAGCAGCAAGCAAGGATGCCCCCGCCCCATCCTCCTCCACTGCGCCTTCCCCACCAGCGCCTCTGTCCCTCACCTAGAACCCTGGCGATCAAGCAGAAAATCAGGGTGCTAATGACAAAGGTCCAGTTCCAGTGATGCTTCCCGGCCACGGTGGAGACGCCGAGGAAGATGAAGATGAGGGTCTCGCTGACACTGCTCCACATCTTCAGGAAGTACTTGATGGTGGTGTGCGACTTATGGGAGATGTTGGCTTCCACATATGGGCGCATAACCACCCCGGCAGCAATGAGCCTGCAAGGGAGGAAGACACATGCCATGGAATCCACGGAACAGGCAATGAATGCACTTCTCCCCAACCTTTGCATCCATGGTCCACAATGGCCAATTCTTCAGGCGGCTTTAGGACAGGAAAGAAAGCACCACTGCTCCTTGCCTCCCTGTATATCTAGAGGTCTGGGAGGGACGAGAACTCCTTGGTCTGGTGGCACTAGGAGCTCACCTGGAAGCACACCTGGACACCCATTCTCGTGCAAGTTTTGGCTTAGATGGGCTTGATGTGAGGCTGCTGACACTGCAAGGACACAGTTTTTTGGGTTGAGGACATGCTCCATCCTATGGAGAAATTCCTAAATTAATTCCCCGGCATCTCCTGCTAGTTGCTGGAAAGAGCCCCATCTTGAACCTAAGGATGGTGGGACTGGACCTGCAACATTCTGCATGCGAAGCAAGTGCTCGGCCACTGAGCCACAGCACCTGCCATCGACTTGAGGTTTTGGGCAGAAAAAGGACCGGCACCCCAAAGGTCTGAAATGGGACGAGGTACCTTTTTTGTGTCCCTACAGTGGAAGGTTGAGGAAAAGCCACAGAGGGCACAAATCTAAATCCACAGTTCTTGTGCCTCAGCATCAGGAATATAGAGAAACACAAAAAGATCTGCAAGGGAACTCCCTGCAGCAATACAAAACCTCTTTCCTGGGGAGGGGGCAATGGGGGCTTTTCTTCCATCCAGAAATATACTGGTAGTTGCAAATACTCCCAGATGAAGGTTTCACTGTGCCATTGCACTGCCTTGCAGAATTGTACAGGAGGGCTTTCACGAAGTGATGTCCCCGCATGTTCCCACCCGTTCTTCCTCCCCTGCCCTGCTTACTGCAAGAAATTTGTAAAGGAAGGAAAAACAGCAGCTGCAAAAATGCCTTCTTGTCGATAGCACTGCGGGGGCTCCATCTGGAAGCACCCAGCTAGTGTCCCCTGATCCATCTTGGAGGAGGGTGTTGCATTCTAATGAGATGTTCACAAGCTAAACTGGCAAGCAAGATATTTTCAAGGACGAGCTATCTAGGGCATCGGACAAGGTGCCTGCTTGCTCTGAACAGAATATTGACTTTAAAAATGGAGAGAGGATTTTCCACAGTCATAATGGCTGGTGGCATGGAGCACAAACCTGACCGAGGAAAAAGAGACAATGAAAACTTATGTATATATGAGGACTTGCAATTGATGATGTGAAAACATTCAGTTATGTATTGAAGCACTTGCTTGGTTGCCGCAGGCACTCAGGAACTGCAGGCAGGTGGGGGGGGGGGGGGGTTGCACATGGGCAGGTGAGCAGATTGGCAGAGGAGGCATGGAGCCCTTTGTAGCCCACGCGGGAGGGTATGTGAGCTACTGGAGGAGGAAAACCTCATCCAGGGCAGAAACTCTGCCTCCGCTTAACAGCTTCCATTTCCCCTTTGACAGCTCACAGAAGGCTGGTAAAAACTGCACAGACTTACGGGCTTATGAAGACAAGATTGGGTAACTGGAAGGGGGTTAGATATGAGATGCCTTATTTATGAAGGCTGGTCATTACAGATAGTGCCTGTATGAACGAAGCGGGGTCAAGCGCCACTGAACCAGCAGGATCCGCGCACCAGGATGGACACTTCCAAGTGAGACTCGGGAGCTCCTGCTTGCTCCTGCGAGGCCGCCACGCGGTGCTGCCTGAACAGGATTTCGGCTGCTTTCCCTTGGCAGGTGGGAGCCGTCGCTCCACCTCTAACTGATAATGCTGAGGCTTCGCTGGCAAGAGAGCCTGGTGATGACTCACACGTCGGGTTTGGTGGAGCACCGTTGCCATGCCAGCCCCTTGTGGAACAGGCTTACCAAACAGGAAGCAGGGCCTCTGTTTCACGAGCCTGACACAGAGGGACTTCACACTACGGTTGTACAGTGCGAGGGCCAGGAAGGGAAAGGACTTGCGCGCCAAAGCATGTCTGTGCCTCCCTTCACCGCAGGAGATTGCCTCTGCTCAGTATTATGAGTTTCAGAAGAGACCTGTTTCAAGAGACCTGTTGCTCCTCTTGAAAGGAGCTTCTGCCACCATGGTTTCTGCATGCCATTGGGGGCCCCGAGTGGAGCTTTTGGGGCTTCTCCTTCCTATCTCTGTCCACACTGTCCAAGCAAGAACTCTTCACACAATCACCAAGTCACCAGCAAGCACATTCTGACAGGCTCACTTGGTTTGCGAGCTGGGAGAGGTCTCCTCCTCCTCCTGCTCCTCCTCCTCACTAGGACAGTGCTTGTTCCTTTTAGTCCTGCAAAATCTCCCAGGTAAGTTCCACACTGCCCCTCTCTCAGCAGTGCCCAGGGTTTCTGAGGCAGCTTCCTACCTTCTCTTTTTCTCAGCCCTTTACTAAAAACCATGAGGACCAGAACCTTACTTTACGGGAAGGAGCATAGCCTGGGGGTAGAGCATCTGCTCTGCATGCAAAAGGTGCCTCCAGAAGGGGCTAGGAAAAGCTCCTGTCCGAAGTGCAATGAAACATCTTCCTATGTTCCTACCCAAGTCCAGCTTCTCAGCCCTGCTGGCCAAGCCCCACTTTGGCTCAGCCCAGCCCAAACTCCAGCCCAGGACTTACGCCATGATGCCTGAAAGGTGGAAGAGTTCGGCGGACAAATACGCCATGTAGCTGTAAAGAAAGACGAAGAGGGGCTCGATGACGCGGATATGGGAAGTGAAGCGAGAGGTGAAGGCTCCGATGACGCCATAGACGACTCCAACAAAGACGCCTCCCAGGGCCACCACGAAGAAGCTGAGGAAGCCCAGGATGATGTCCGTGATGGAGACCTGCTCGAATGTCGCAAACTCTTCAAAGAGGTGGTAGAGGACCTGGAGTGGCAGAGCCGGGAGAAAGGAGATGCCAGCTCAGCACAAGGAAGCCCTGATCAGAGACTGCCAATAGGCATGCCAACATGGAAAAAAGCAGAAAATTAGTATCCCACAACGGGAAGAGGTGGGAGGGAAAGCAGATCAAAAAGGGAGCGCTAGAAATCTGCAGCATTTGACCTGCTGAGAGCAAATAATCTCTGCCTTAGAGTCATCAAAGCAAGTGCAGGTAAGGAGCCGCCCTCTTGCTGCTTGGACAGAGAAGCACAGTAGCTGGGAAAGGAGTTGCCGTCTCGCCTCAGCCCTCCGAGGATTTCCAGCAGCCGGAGTCGCTCTCCCTCCATCACTTTCCCTTATACCCCATATATTCAGCGTTGTACTTCTGGCTTTTCTGGGGTAGTGATCCAAGCTCCATAAAGCGAGGGTGGTGAAGCCTACCAGTGCACCGAAGTTCTACAGCTGGGTTTCCTCCATGGGTGCAGGTTGGCCTACAAGCCCCAACCCCTGGAGGAATCTTCCCCAGAGGAATTCCTATGGTTATTTCCAGCCTCATCTTGGAGATTACGGTAGGGAAGGACAACACACACAATAGGAAGTTCAGCTGTCTGGTCAGCACTGAGAGGTGCAAGCCCAGTCCATGCATTCTGCTAGCCCTGGGAACCGTGGCTCCTTTTCCAACAGGGGCTGGGTCTCCTTCTCCATGCCGAAAGAGGCCTCTCCGTACAAAGAAAGCCAGCAAGAGCAGGGAGAAGGCGATGACGCCAGAGGGTGTGGCCAAACCTACTGACCTCACCTGGCCTACAAAGGGCTGATGGGGACACACCTTGGCTTCCCAAGCTAGTTTGGCCTTGCAGTCCCAAGCCATGGTTCAGGAAGCCAGCAACGAACATTGGTCTCCCGCGGTTCTTCCGCTCTTATGCTGGCTTTGGCAGTCATTCTGGTCAAATTCAACCACTGCAATGTGTTCCACCTGAAGGGAACGGAATAACTGAAGAAATGCTGCTCTGCTAAACAGCAGGAGCAACGCCAAGGGCAGGCACGGTGGGGCACCCAACCCAGCACGGTCCTCGGCCTCGTGCGCCTCCTCTTTATCCACCTGCTTGTGCTCCTGCTTCCTGCTCTGGCCCAGGCAATGGAGGCGGTGAGGAGCAGCAGCAGCGGATGCCACGGCCAATGCGGGTTGTGCAAGCAAGTGGCAGCATCCGTGAGGAAGAAGCAGAGGAGCCGGGGCAGCCAATGAATGGGAAGGCAGACTTACTGAGGGAGGGGACCTCTTGAGGGTGTCTCATCAAGGACTCTCCAAATCCTGAAGCCAGTACTGCTACCCATGATCTTAAATCTGGATAAATCATGGTTTAAGATTCTGACCCACATTTAAAATGTAATGGAGAGCTGGGACTTGAAGCAGCCAGGATCAAGGTGTCTTGAGTAGGGCAAGGCAGAAGATGGTGAGGAAATATGTGACTCTGATCCCCATTCTTGGTTTAAAAAATTATGGATTCTGATAATTCACACTGTGTGTGAACCAGTCCTTTGTCAAACGAGGACTAACTATATCTGAAGGGCACAGGGACTCTCAAAGAATGTAAGACGGTCCACTGGCTCATTTTATAATCCCAAGGTTTCTTGCAGGGCCTGGAAAGACAACTGGATTTCACGTTTCGTATCTGTTGTCTGGCATAAATAAGCCTGAAACAGCATGAACAGCCAAATAGGCTGCAGCTATTAAGATGAGATCACAATTAATTAATGGCTGACAGTAATGGCTGTTGGGAGATGAACAGATTAGCCACTATTTATCATGTACAGTTGGTTGCTGATTTTATGCTGTAGGTATGTTTAGTAGTTAATTAGCCTCATATCAGTCTCACATAGATTCTCTTCCATTTATTGTACCTGCCCATGCATGAGCATACAGGAAAAAGTCATACCATTCCCAGCATGCTGGCTGGCTAATGCCAAGAATTGCTTGGCTTTTCCCGGTATAAACATGCATAGGACTGCATCCTTAATTTATCCCCATTTTATTGTTTAATAACTGCTTTCTGAACCAATTTGTGCAAGGTCTATGGATTAAATAAACATTTATGAATGTAATCTGTTTCTAACAGGTCATAATTATAATTATAATTTTATATTGTTAATTTGTTGTCTATTTGGATGTATTGTATTTTAATTTTATGTTGTGAGCCGCCCCGAGGCTTCGGCGAATGGGGCGGCATAGAAATGTTTAAAATAAAAAAATAAAAAAATAATAAAAGAATTCATAAAAAAGACAGTGGTCTTTTCCAGCTATGAACCAGTAAGAGCAACGGCCAGTGGGATGCTGCAACGAAAGTGCTGCAGCGGAGGGTGCTTCTGCCACAGGGTACCTTCCCTTCCCTTCCCCTAGTCCCTCCTCCAGGCAGTCAGCCAGGGTTCTGCACCCACTGAGTGCACTGCCTGTCTTGCCCCAGGCCCCTCATTCAGTGCATGTGTGCACAAGGGGATACTGAAAACACACGAGAATCCATCACTCCTGCGCAGCTGAGTGTTTCCTCTCTCAAGCTTTTCCTTTAAACACACTGCACAAAAGCAAAGTGCAACACTAACATTTACATGTATTTCGTTTTAGCTCCTCTCTTATGTATACTTATTTATTCCTTGCTGAAGCACACGGAAGGAGGCCCCAGTTCCAAACATCCTTTTTTCCTTGCAGTGGGGTAACAGGGAATGCAATCAAAAATCTCTGTTTGTTAAAACAGCAGCACTCCAAGCTGAAGTTTGCATCAGAAGTTCAGCCACAGAGCCCTTCTGGAGAACTCCGCTGCTTTCTTTCTCTCGCCTTCACCAGTTCCTCCAACGCGTTTCCTTATTCTAAGGAAGAACAGTTGCACAAGATCACAATTACGAAAAAGTTTCTTTCCCTGCGGAAGAATGACTACAGGGCCTCAGTAACAGCCTTCCTCATGCCCAGCTGGCTGATCTCATTCCACGTTCATGCTGGGTGGGTCAGCAGCCCGCGGCTCCGGAGCCGCATGTGGCTCTTGAACCCCTCTGCTGCGGCTCCGTCGTTCAAAATACAAAGCACATGCTGGCACAGCCACTGATCTCCTCGAAGCTCCACTCAGGACACTCAGGAAAGCAGCTCTAGCTAGCTAAGTAAATCAGCTAGTTAAGCTGCCTTCCTCTGCTAAACAAGCTTCCTGTAGGCTCTCATGTTACACGAAACCCTGCTGAAAGGATTCTCCTTGTCCCAATGGAATCTCCTTCATCTGAATGTTAAAAGCTGCACTTGGGACTTGTCACAATTCACAGCACTTGACTGTTTATCTGCTAATCAGTCCCTAAACACACCTATATCTCTGGCACAACCGCTGATCTGCCCCCCCCCCCCCAGGCCAACCATGGATAAATCAAAAAGGAAAGTTTCTGAAGAAAACCAAACATTTAATGGTATGTGGGTAGATTCATTTGCTTTTACTGCTGACGAACTTATGGGGTTTGCTGTTTAATGCATGCAGCCCTTTAGCACTGACTTCGACTCTCCAGGAAGCTGTTCTCCTATTCAAAATATATGAAAGGAGTCCTACTAGTTTATAAAGTAAGATTAAAAACAACAGTTTTTAGTGACTGAACAAGAGCTGCAGCTAAATCATAATGAAGATACACATAGCATTAAGGTAAAAAAACGATATATGCAGTGTTATCTTCATTTTAGATGTCAAAAGGGTTTTGTGGCTCCCGGTGTTTTCTTTTGTGTGGGAATGGGTCCAAATGGCTCTTTGAGTGTTACAGGTTGCTGCCCCCTGCTCTAGAGGGTGAACCAATTCAAGCTACTTTACCAATGGAGCAGGAGAACAAACGCCCAGGGGCAGGGAGGGTTTGCCCTACTGAAAAATGTTCCTCTTTCCCAGATCACATGTTGACCAACGTTCACCAGTGAACCCAAGCAGAGAATGAGAAGCAGCTGCCTGCGGGAAGGAAGCCTTGTTTGGCAGGTTTCCTTCTGCTGAAGGCCCCCTGTGTCCAAGACCAGGAGCAGCAGGGGAAATCCTCCTCCATCCAGGCAGGGGCCTGACGGTGACGGTGATCTGTCCTTTCCTGGACAGATCCTTCTCCAACTGAAGCAGAGGGAGGACCCTGCGCCCATCATGCTCAAAGACCACCTGCTTTTTTCCTCTTCTCTTCCCACCCCCTTTTCCTTTTGTGTTGTGTCCTCTTGTGTATCAACTGCAGGCTGCTTTGCAAGTTTTTCTAGCTGAGGAAGGGAATGCAAAAAAAGTAAAAGGATGAATGCTCTTTCTCCTTGTCCAAGCAGGAGACAGAAATGCACTGATGCCCCACCTCTGCCGGCCTTCCACAGTGCACTGCACTGCAAGTCTTAGCCTGCTGCTTACTGGGGCGTCTTCCATTTTTATTGTGGGAGGAAAAACATGTCCTTTACATAGTCCCCCACTCCTGAGTTTAAATTCTTCCGCTTTTCTATATATTCTATAAACTACAAACTCCTGTTCACCCTTAGCAAAGTGAATGGTGAGGGATGCTGGAAAAGTTGCTGCTTCCTAGACCGATCGAAGCCACCTAGGACTCTTCAGTGGTGGTTTCCGTCCCAGCACCTTGCAATAATCCCACCTGAATTGTACTAGATGGGCTCCTGGGAATGAAAGAGGCAGCTGTTCTTGGTGCGTGTTTCAGGGCAGGGTGACAGCGACGCTTCGGATGAGGATGTGAGGCTTGGGAATGAACTCTGCAGACACAGAGATAGTGCAGGGGGGAGCTTCTCTCAAGGCTGCTGCCTCCAGGTGTTCATGGGACAGACCCTGGGAGCCCACAGGGTTTGGAAGTTTGGGGAGGGGAGGAGCCAGGGAGCCTGGCCCAGTCCTTGATCCCATGAAGCAGCATCAGGAGAGAAGGGCTAGCCAACTGGAGGGTTTGCATTGCTCTAAGAGGCTTGCCCACCCCCAGAAGGGCACCCCCAGGATGATGGTGCCTAGAGGTATGGAAATGGAGGGTTCCTGAAAGCAGTCTTCAGTTTGGGCTCAATGAACTGCTCTGTGCATGCTCTGAGGCTCCTTCTGGCTACAGCTTGCTGGAAGTGCACTGGAAATCAAGAGCATTTGCCCAAGCGCTACCTGTTGTTTGAAAAAGAGAAGGGAAACCTAGCTCTCGACGTGGGCCATCTTAGTCAAGCTGGACCCAGCCAACGCACTGTCTTAAGCTGGGCGAAGGTCCCCTCCGCACCAACTACCAGGAACAGCAGCAGAAAAGAGCTCCTCTCCTTGCGTCTTGCTTCCCAAATTCAGTACTGAATCTCAGCCCTGTGGTACTAATCCAGCCCATCAGTGGGCCAAAGACAGTGCTCTGGAGGCCTCCAGCTGGCTGAACCCCCTTTTTCTGGCCCCACCTCTTTCCCCACAACCACTGAGCAGGGCAGTCCCAAGTTCCAACTGTCAAAATGGGCAAAGATGTTCAGCAGCTCAAATGAGCCACAAATGACAGGGGAAATTCCTTCTGGGGAGGGGATGAGTATACGCGCCTTCTGCATTGCTCTGAAATTACAACCAATCTCTTCGACCACATGCTAATGATACCCTGACATAGATTAGTCACCCCTTATTGTCCTTTTGCTGAATTAAACAAGCCAGCTAAAAATAGGTGTTCTCCCCCTTGCCCCAAACTTCTCCCTGCCCTTTCAAATGCAGGGTGAGGTAGCCATGAGCCCAGCTTTAAAGGTACAGGCCTCCTGCCCTGAAGCAATCTCGGCTCGGGAAAGACCGGGCTGCCAGCTTGGTTCTTCTCCATTCCTGCCTCGCTGCATTAGAATTCAGAAGAAGGCAAGGTGGGCTGTGAAGATCTTGGCCTCTGCCATGAGCCTCCATCCTGCAAAGCACGGTGGGTGGGCAGCACGGCCACCAGAACAGCGCCCAAAGAGCACACAATGGGACCTAGACAAGGGCTCCCACAAATAGCCCTAGCTTGGCGCCTCCCAGATGCTCTGGATAGCAAAACCCAACAGTTCTGGCCACTGGCTTTGCTGACTGGGGCTGATGGGATCCTCAGCCTTTTTCTAGCCCGTCTGTGGGCGGCAAATCCACTGTCGCCTGGCCAGACTCAAGCTCAGATTACTGCTAAGTGGCTTCGCCCTCATACCAGCCTTCCCCAACCTGGTGGCATCCAGGAATGACGAATCTGAACTCCTGTTGGCACAGCAATGGTGAGGAATGGTTCAAAACATCTGGAGGATGCCCTGCCTGTGGAAAGCGACCTTACACACCCTCTCACTCACCCACTTCTGCCGCCGCCACTGCTTCCCCGGCTTGGTTAGATTTATTCAGCCCTGCATCTTCCGTGCCCAGAGCAGCCTCTGCTCCCCACAACAGCTTAGTCCTCCATGTCATTCCATCCACACTCCAGACCCCTTCAGCCTGAGGCTGATGTTTGCCTGCCAGCTACAATTGCATTCCTCAGCACTTGATGCCAATCTAAGTCTCCCAATTTTTCACTGCAGGCTAGCATATAACAGGAGAATCCAGTTTACACTGCAAATTACTGGGCTGTCATTTTCCCGTACACAACAGTCTGCCAAAAAAAAATTCAAAATGTGATCCAGAGACTAGGAGGCTTTTTATCTGGCAACCAAGTCCCCGGATCTGGCCTAGTGCGCTGCTTTTTGTGGTGAGAAGCAATGGACAAATGTAATAAGCAAACAAATAATAATAAGGCTATGGCAGAGGAATACAAAATTCTGCGTCATTACTCTATGTGTACCACAGGTTTCTTCCTCTTGCAAGGAACCAAAGGCAGCTTACGCAGCCCCCTCATGTGCTCCCCATTTTTCTGCAAATGTGCTTCCTGCTGCATTGTCATCCTGAAAATGGTACTTCTCTCCTGCTCAGCTCCCTTAAATCAGGGAGGTGGAACTTCGTTCAGGTTGGGGGCCAAAGCCCATTTCAGCAAAAAATCCCTGAGGCTGCATGGCGCTGGGGCAGGGGAGCCAAAGGGGAAAGAAAGGGGCATGGTCAGAAAGCATTTGCTGCCAGCATCCCAGCCTCAGGAGAGCCTTTCCAAAGGGACAACGCTGGGTGAAAGCCAGGAAACCGCTCGACAAACAGGAGGACAACAGAAGGGGGTATGGTCTTCTCAGGGCCTGGAGCACCCCGAGCAGGCTGGATTTGGTCCCCCGAAGTCCGAGAGGCTGCAGCCCAAATGTCCCCCCGCATGTTTACAAAACAGGGCCGGTTGCCCACTTTTTCTCACAGCCCGGCAGCACCTGCGTTCTACTCACCACTGTAACCGCATCGTTGAGCAAGGACTCCCCAAACACCAAGATGTGCAGAAGCTCGTTGATGTGGATCTCCTCGAACACAGCCAGGACGGCAACAGGGTCTACTGCCGAGATGATGCTGCCAAACAGCAGGTTGGCTATCAGGCCAATGTCCGTCAGACCAGCGACGCCGATCTGGCACACGCCAAACAGCAGCGACCCCACGAAGAACGCGTTCCACAGCGTGCCCACGACCGCAAAGATCAGGATGGTGCCCAAGTTCTCCGTGAACTGGCGCAGTGGCAGGAAGTAGCCCGCATCCAGGATGATGGGCGGGAGGAGGAAGAGGAAGAAGACATCCGAGCGGAGGACTGGGGGGTCCTCGCCCACGGCCTTGATCAGCCCTCCAACCAGCAGTCCGACGACGATGAGCAAGCAGCTCTCCGGCACGATGCGGGAGATGGTGGGAATCACATGGAATCCTGGAGGTGGGAAAAGACATGACAGAGGTGAGTCCCTATTTGGGGGTGTCAAGGTGCCCCCGCCAACCCTTCCTTTGCCCACAACTTTCTATGAAACTACAATAACAAAATCTTCCTAGAGTCACAGTAGGAAAAGGAAGGCAAGAGTCCGAAACAGAAAAAGCTTGAAGAAATACAGAAGGTAATAATGTGATTCCAAAGCAACGGGATTCTGCAGCAAGAAAGTAATTGGATTCTATACCCCATATTAAATTACAAAAATTGGGCATATTTGCAGTAAGGCGCCCTTTTCATTAATCCTTTCCAGACCATTGGGCTATCTAACTCAGTATTACCTACCTCAGTCTTTCCCAGCCACTGCCCTTCAGATATGTTGGACTACAACTCCCACCATCCCTAGCCATCATGGGAGTTGTAGTCCATCATAGCCAGAGTACACCAAGTTGGTGGCCTACATTCTAATACACACCAGCCTGAGGAGTCAGCATGGGAGCATTGGAAGATCTGGGTTCTAGTACCCACTCAGCCATGAAGCCCACTTGGAGGGCTTGGGGCCAGTCACAGCCTTGCCTACCTCACAGGCTTGTTGTTGTGAGGATATGAAAAGTCTTAGAAAAGTTATGTTAAAGGATGGGGGACAACCAATGGATGAGCAGCCATGTGATGTTTACTGAATGCTGTGGGGCAGCAGTGGGGTAGGGCAGGGAATGGAAAGGAGTGGACAGACTTGGTATTATTGCTACTACTGCATCTGTATCCCTCCTCTATTCCACAACAACCCTGTGAGGTAGATTAGGATAAGACTTGGTGACTGGCCCAAAGTCACCCCATGAGCTTCATGGTCAAGTGGGGATTAGCACCCGGATCTCCCAAGTCTCGGTCCAACACTCGAACACTACATCACATCGGCTCTCCTTCCTGAATAGAAAGCATTCCCTACTGCAACATTTTGCTGTAGCTTCCCCTTGCAGAAGCAGAAAATCAAGGAGGGCTTCCTTCCGCCCAGAACCAAGGTAAGAATTTTTCTTGTCCCCCAAAACCCAGCCCTCCTTTTTCAGGGAGAAGGACAAGTGGAAGGCACAGCATGTTCTGTCCTCTAAATCCCCGGCAAAGGAATGAATTTTCAAGAGAGGCAGCAATTTTTAATCAACACCTCAGTTGCTTTGCTCTTTCCTGCTGAACTGCTGGGGCACATTAGACCATCTGTTCTGCTTACAACCTGTTGAGCTGCAAAATATACCATTTCGCTGAGACACCTTTGAGTGTCCACGAACACACACACACACACACACACACACACACACACACACAGAGCTAGAGTAAAACGGAAGCCTGTTTGAAGCCCTTTGTGTCCTCTTGCAAGACTTCCAGGAATATAACAGGCTGCTGGCAGGTGTCAGATCTAACTGGGATCGCATGGGGGCATGGTGGAGCACAGTGAACCCCCCCCACACACACACACACAGAGCGGCACCAGCAGCAGGGGCACCCACACCACTGCAGTGGCACTGGCTCATACAAATAACAACTCCATGGACATCCACAGAGAGTCCAAGAAGCGTCAGATGAGGTCAAAAGAGGCATAATGATGGGAATAGAAACAAATTATTCCTGAATACCAGTGCAAGAATGCAGTGGCACATTTATTTAATCGACATAATGCATGCAGCTCACAGAATTCGCCTTTGTTGGTGCAGAACGATAATATAGTACACAATAGAGCTTGCTGAGCCCAGCTGGTGCAGTGCAATTATTCTGTACACTGCCAAGAAAACCCCAGACAGCAGTCCTGGGATGGCAAGCGCCTCCACCGGTGCAGAAGGCGCTTCTCTGATACAGCAGCTCTGTACCTGGCTCCTTCGCACCGCGACATCCCGCTGCACTCTCTCAATCCTCATATACTAAAGGACAAGAATTCTGTGGAGTCATCCAAGGACAAAACGATGAGTCAGCCACTTGCTGCAACAGCTAGATGGAAAATATATACCCAATGGCATTTTAAAAGGAGCAAGTACAGAAAACACGGTAGGTTTGGACACCAACTTTATTTCCATCTCCACCTACTCCGCACTCCGAAGTAGAGAGGCTTTTGCAATATTGGAAGAAGAACAGTGGTCAAGAGGGGCAAATCTAATACCAGATATCCACTCCCATAAATAATGGTTGGTATTCAAACCAGTTTGCAGTGTGGTTTACTGCCAGGCAGACTGAACATAATAAAGTTGTACAGAGTCTTTCTAAGCACTGAGGCCTTAAAAGAGAGAGAGAGAGAGAGAGGATAAAGAAATTCAGTTGAAATCAGTGTTCCCTAACTTGCCCCCCTACAGATGTGTTGGACTGCAGCTGTTCTAATTCCCAGTCAGGATGATCATGGGAGTTGTAGTCCAACACACTGAGAAGATACAGGGTCTAATTGAAGGAGGACAAGAAAAATTAAAAGGGACTGACTAGAGCAGGTAGTCAGTAAACTGGTGACATAGCAGAAGATTTAGCCACCAACAGAAGTTTGGCAGTCTCTTCCTCCAAGATATGCCCCGGGCTCTACCATCGCAGCTCGCTGGGCTGTCATGAGATGAGCCAGTGCTGACAGACAGGGCCAAAGAATCAGAACCAGAATGCACAGAAATATTCCGGAGCTGGAAAATCTTGTGCAGCCCTACGAGGAAGCTTTTTATAGTCCTTGTAATCCAGGAAGGCCTGGGTGCTGACCCTGGTGGCTGAAGCCAGTCCAGAGCCTGAGAACTTCACTGCCAGGAAGCGGTTCCAAGTTGCAGTTGAGTGATCCACCACCATGGGGCAGCTGAAGGATCCTGATTCCAGTCCGGACAACTTCCAGCACAGAGCAGTAGAGATCACATGACACTCCTGCTTGACCCGAGCGTGTCAAAATTCCTCCTCCTTTGTGGTCCTGCACCTTGCAAGCCCCAAGCGCCAAGTTTCTAACATTTTGCCTGCAAGGATTCTCAGTGCACGCAAAATTAGCACAACAAAAGGCAAATGGAAGTTGGCAGCCAGTGTTAAGATCCCTTCAACTCCCATCAGCTACCCGCAGACTTGTGAACTACTCAAGTTGCTGGAGACTGCCAAAGTCACTTTCTTCTTACAAAAGGCAGAAAGTCAAGTATGAATTAAAAACTCAAGTCTAGCAATTATTACCGTCTCTCACATTGTCCCCACGGGCTGTCAAGATTCCATTAGGATGGAGCACTCCTGAGTTAATGAGAATGAAGGGTTCTAAGGCTTTTTTGTGATGTTCTAAAAATACCCCAACATGCGATGCACTTTCATTACGCCTTTCATTTCTGCAGAATTCAGAACACCCAGTCGCTTTGCACTTCCCATGCTTTTATAACCACAGTGCCAACTAGTTTGCTACTATGAACGTTCCTCAGCGACATGCAGCCAAAGTCAGAGGGGAAAAAGCCAGAAAAAGCCCCAGCTAACAAACAAGGCATTTAGGCTACAGGAAGCCCAACTAAATGCAGGCTTATACATCGCCACTCGCCTGGTCTGCTGCAGCAAGCGAGAATTGGCTTCAGGTGAGCAGGCAGAGAAGGCCTTCCTTCTAACAACCAAACCTGCAGAGTCCTCTTGGGCCCTGGCATAAACATTTTGATATTGTCTACCAGTATCGCCTGAGGAGTTGCAGTTTCAAGCAAGGAGCAAACCTTCCCCAGGAACAATTGGCTCCCAGACAAACCCAGAAGTAGAGGTGATGCTAATAAGAGAATGTGTGAATATCTAAACTGGAGTGGGGATTGAAATGTCCAGAGGAAACCTTGCTAGAAAAGAAACTAACTGCAAGTCCCCCCAGAAAAACCTTCTCCAATGCGGACTGTTCCAGTGATGTTGGACATCAACTCCCATTAACCCCAACCAGCATGGCCATTGGTTGGGGATGATATGCACTGCAGTCCAAAACAGAGACACACACATTGGAGAAGGCTGTACTAGTTGTAGCTTTTAAAAACTGAGAATATTCAAAAGTGCCTCCAAGCTCTTCGTTTATTTATAGTATTTTCATTCCAGCTCTTCAGTCAGCAGCTCCTGGACTCGCTTACAATCAGTTAAGCAAGACGGTCCTTGGCCACAGGCTTGTAATCTAAGCAGGCACAACACACAGGAAAAAGGAGTCAAGGAAGGAGGGAGAGAAGAGCAATTAAGCAGTTCTTCCTCAGTGTTGGTGGAATGGCCCTGCATCCTCTCTTATCTCCTGCAGATGAAGGAGGCCATCTTCAGCAGGGCTCACAGAATAACCGTGCTCCCCTTTCTCCTCAGTACAGCTTGCTGAAATGGCATAATAGCAAGCGCCTGGTACTGTCAGGAGAGCTTATTTTCATGATTTCCCCACAGCTGGGAAAGCAGAGATGCAGCACCAATACTGATGCTTCCCAGCAGTCATTCCCGTCACTCGCTCATCCCTGTAACCACGGGAACCTACTCCTGCCAGCTAAAAGTTCCTGCAGGCTTTCAAAACTTTCCCCATTTCTGTAGACCAACTAAAGAGGTGGCATCACGTGAAGCATCTTCCAAGTACGTCTGAGAGGGTCTGATCCCATTGGTAATATCCCACTGTACTTTTGGGAACCCCTCTTGGATGCACACCTTAACATGGTGAGGAAGTTGAGAGTGTGAGCAAAGCCAACAGGGACGTGACTTGGAGGCCAGATTCTCTCACTGGTCTGATTTCCGAGCAGGGTCACCAATGGCGCAATGCTCAAAGCTGAGCCACCAGCCTAAGATGCCTCCCCTGACTTCAGATGCAAAAGCCACATCAGCAGAAGAGAATGGCTATCTCTAATGGTGACAGGGGCAGAAAAACTTGGGCAGGGCAGCTACTGGGAGGCAGTGGCAGCACGACACTGGCGGGGGCACTTCCTCAGACAACAGTGACACTCAAACTAAGTTTGGTTAACGTTGTGCAGAAGGTGGCAACAGTAAGCCAGGTCTAAGTAATTCTTACTTTGTAAACCAAGAGGAGATCATCCAAAATTAAACAA